AAGATGGAATCTCAGGGTTGTTTCAATTTACATCTCTCTAATAGCCAGAGATGTCGAAGATTATTTTATGTATTTATTGGCTATTTGTATTTCTTCTTCTGAGGAGTAACTGTTCATTTCAGTTGCCCATTTTTTGATTGGATATTTTATTTGGGGGATTTAATTTATTTTCGCTTTCCCATAGTCTAGATATTAGCCCTCATCTGAGGAATGGCCAGCAAAAAAATTTTTTCCCATTCTGTAGGTTATCCATTCACTTTATTGGTTGTTCCCTTTGCTGTGCAGAAGCTTTATAATTTGATGTAATCTCATTTGTTGATTCTTGGTGTTTGTGCAGAAAGTCCTTGCCTATGCCTATGTCTTCCCGCTGGTTGTTTCTGTTTTCATATCTAGGTATTTGATCCATTTTGACTTTATTAATGCATGGCAAGAGATACTAGGTTCAATCTTTCACCTGTGCATAGCCAGTTTTCCTAGCACTTTTTGTTAAAGAGGCTGTGTTTTCTCCAGCATGTGTATTTTGCCCCTTTGTCAAAGATCAGATAGCTGAATGTGTCTGGGGTTATTTCTGCATCCTCTATTGTGTTCCACTGATTACAAGTCTGTTTTATTGCCAACACCATGCTGTTTTTATAACTGTAGCTTTGTAGTATAACTTTCAAGTCCAGAATTGTGATGCCCCATGCCTTGCCCTTGTTACTCAGGATTGCTTTTGCTATTCGAGGTATCTCTGGCTCCACATAAATTTTAGGATTGTTTTCTCTAGTTCTGTGAGGAGTACTGTTGGTATTTCATTGGGATCATATTAAATCTATGTATCAATTTTGGACATATGGCCATTTGATGTCTCCTATTTCACACTAAAGTTTCACCACTCCAAAAGTCTTAGAGAAAAATTCTTTTCTGGTAACAGATTTTTTTAAATTTTTAATTTTTAGTCACTTAACCATCACATTGAAAAAAATGATTTCAGATAGAAACCTCCCTTGCTCCTTCATTTCATGCTGGTAGCACTCCTAGAAACATGGTAAATGTTTCTAAGATACATTGGATTTTCTGTAAGAAGTGTTGCAAGTACTGCCTTTACAATGTGACTTATGACATGTAGGAAGGGTATGGATTGCTTGTAAGTCCGTGGAAAGCAGCATTGTCAGGAAGCAGCATAGCTACAATGGGCAGGGTAAGCCAATTTTCCAGATAAAGGCTAACTTCAGAGAAACTTGTGCTGAAACTTCAGTGTGGTGAGTCCAACTGCAGATATAAGAAAATGCTGTCTATTTAGAGGTGCACGCATTTTAAACTGGGAGGAGATAAGAAGAGAATGGATCAAGCTATCCATTTCAATGCTTCAACTTAGACAATGAGATATTGAGGTTCTATTTACTTCAAGAAGAAGAAGAGAAAGAGGAAGAATGAAAAGAAGAGGAGGATGAGAAAAGGAAGGGGAAGGAGAAAGAAAGAAAATGATCATTTCTTTTTCCTTTGTGCTTAGATTATATTATGCATAACTTAATCTATTCCTACGGATCTTCCCAAAGAGTTAGTCATTATATTACAGTGACATGTGCATACCCATGTTTATAGAAGGACAATTAATAGCTAAATCTTGGAAGCAGGCTGTATATCCATGAACAGGTGAACGCATAAGGAAAATGTGGTATTTATACACAATGAAATACTACTTTGTCATAAAGAAGGATAAATTTGAATCATTTGTAGAAAAATGGATGCACCTTGAGACCATAATGTTAAATGAAGTAAATCAGATACACAAGCTTAGATATTGTATTTTTATACACGAGAAACCCAAAATACAATTAAAGAGCAAAATGAAAGGCAGATAATATAGAATATATTTACTGTGCCAGGGAAAATAAAATCCTTAAACCTAAATAAAAACTTTTGGAGACTTTATAGAATTGTTTTGGAAAGAAATTTCCCTGAGCAGATATTCTAGATGCTCTGCTTTTATAAGATTCCATTTAGTGCAACATTTCTGGGCATATTGTACATTAATAATAAATATCAAAAGTTATAAAATCTTATTTTTGATTTGGATAAGTAATTGTTCCTTTTAAAAATTATATTGTTACTGAGAAATCATAAACCTTAAAAAAAAAACCTATTCACTCCCGCCTGGAGCCGCCATCGCTCCAGCACCACGAAGGTAGCCTGGGCCCCGATCCACCTTGGGAAGGAGAGCCACGTCTTCTCCCGGCCGGAGCTGCCATCGCTCCAGCACTAGGAAGTTAGCCGAGTGAGCGCCCTGAACCCCCATAACTCCCCTTACCCCCCCACCGTGCACTCTCAGACCTCCTGATTGTGCCAGTCTTTGGACCCACTCTTCAGAGGCAGAGGTGGTCATAAGGGTATTTTTCTGAGTTCCCAACTTTGAACATCTTTAAAGAAAGGGCAGAGGAAACCTGTAGCAGAACGATGTGGAGTTCAACTGTTCAGAAGGTTGGGGAACTCAATCTGCGCCTTGCAGCCTGAGGTCAGTCTGTGTCATGGGGTTCAGCCATCAGCTAACTGAGATCAGGGGTCTTGAGTCCTAGCTCTGTCTGAACCATTAAATGGTAAATATACTATATTGAAAAGTTTGTTCACTGCAGACATGTTCTGGACTGCTTCTTGATTTCAATTTAATTCAAATGGTTTAAGGGTGATAGACTAGTGACTACCACAGGTGGTCAGTTTCCAAGTTGTGCTTGATCATAATGTGTTGCTGATTGCATCAGTTGGGTTAAAGGATTGTGGCTGATTTGATGAGCTCTTTTCTCTGATGTTATGAAGATGAGAATGTCTGTGGGTCGTTGGAAACCCAGAAGCTAGGGCGCAACTATATCAGGAACATTTGGGTGATAACCCAGAGATTAAACCAAGGACAGCCCTACAACAAAAGTAAAAATGAGAAAACACTTAAGCAAGACACAAAGACAAACTTCCAGTTCACCAGTGGCAAACAGTAGGGCAAATGAGGATGAAAAGGCCGATAGTGAACCACCAGGACACCCTGAACTCAAAGCACAGGAAGTAATAAAACAGATCAATCAGGCTCTAGAAAAATTCAAAACAGAAATAATTTCCCAGATAACCATAGAGATGGTGAGCAAAATGGAAGTCGTGATTCGAGACTCTAGAGCAGAAACTGACAAAAAAATAGATGAGCTCAGGAGCACGATAGAAGCCATGAAAGCCCAGCATAAGAAAGAAATGGAAAAAATAAACACCCAACATAGGAAAGAAATGGAATCCATAAAACAGATTCAAACAGATATCCAGGAGATTAAACACTCTATTGAAAGTGTACGCAACAGAATAAAAGAATGCGAAGATAGACTGTCAGATAGAGAAGATAAGATTGCAGTCAGTGACCGTGAAAAGAGAGGTCTCTTAAAAACAGTAGGGGATTATGAGAAATTGATCCAACAACTCCTAGATGATGCAAAGAAGAATAACATAAGACTAATAGGAATTCATGAAGTAGCAGGAGAAGATACAAATGATTTAAAAAAGCTGTTCACAGAATTAATGACAGAAAATATGTAAGGTCATATTTACGTGGGTTTGATTACAGAAGCTAATAAAGTATTCTCTTAATAATGAAAAAAAAAGAATAAGACTACCAGAGCAAGAAGCAATTTAAATATGTTCAGGGACCATTTTCATCTTCAGAATTAAGGATTATTTTAATCTTACATTATTGCCTTTTCTCTTTTACTTTCCTTTTTAGTTTTATTTTAGGATTCCCTATTTTTAATGTTCATACAGAGATTTCTTTAACTGAAATACCAAATAATTTCTCTGGTGTGAAACACTATATAATAGTACACAGGATCCTAATGAGATAATCAATAATGTGAAATAGGACGTAAAGGGCTAAAGGTGTAGGGAAAGTGGGAAGAGTGGGGGAAAGGTAATAAGGGAGAGGAAAAAATATGAGAAATTAAAAAAATGGAAATAAAGTGTTTGTAAATGGGGAAGGGAGGAGGGGGCGAAGAGAGGGCAGGGACAAGGGGAAAAAATGAGAATCAAGACTTATCATGTAAAGGTACAGGATCCCAATAATGAATGTAACTGTATTGTATACCTAGATTATACCAATAAACTCAATAAAAAGAAAAAAAAACTATTCAATCCCTTGGTTTGTCATGAAGATGCTTCTAGTTAAAGATCTTGATTTAAATTGTCTTCTTTAATATGAAAATATTAATATTTTAGCGACCTGGATTTATTTTGGGGTTCTAGTTACTACTAAATATATTAAAGAATAAAAATTTCCATATTGAGTTGCACAGAAAATATTTTTGGGATTTCTACTCAGGATTAGGTACAGCATCCATTTAGCTAGCATGCTACAAATAATTTCTCTGGTGTGAAACACTATATAATAGTACACAGGATCCTAATGAGATAATCAATAATGTGAAATAGGACGTAAAGGGCTAAAGGTGTAGGGAAAGTGGGAAGAGTGGGGGAAAGGTAATAAGGGAGAGGAAAAAATATGAGAAATTAAAAAAATGGAAATAAAGTGTTTGTAAATGGGGAAGGGAGGAGGGGGCGAAGAGAGGGCAGGGACAAGGGGAAAAAATGAGAATCAAGACTTATCATGTAAAGGTACAGGATCCCAATAATGAATGTAACTGTATTGTATACCTAGATTATACCAATAAACTCAATAAAAAAAGAAAAAAACTATTCAATCCCTTGGTTTGTCATGAAGATGCTTCTAGTTAAAGATCTTGATTTAAATTGTCTTCTTTAATATGAAAATATTAATATTTTAGCGACCTGGATTTATTTTGGGGTTCTAGTTACTACTAAATATATTAAAGAATAAAAATTTCCATATTGAGTTGCACAGAAAATATTTTTGGGATTTCTACTCAGGATTAGGTACAGCATCCATTTAGCTAGCATGCTAAGAACAAATTTTTTTGCTAATTTGACATTCAAAAATAAGCGTATTTGTTTTTTGATGTTTTCCTTGTTAATTTCAGGATCCTGAGAGAAGCCATTTTGTCCTAATTGCTGGGGAGCCATTAAGAGAACCAGTTGTTCAACATGGTAAGCCCAGAATGATGATTTCCTGGTTGACTTTTGTTTTCTCCAGAGTAGTGTACATGTGCAGTGTTACTGGGAAGACTGGCTGGATCTTTTCCTATCTCTTCATCAGCAAATCTAAGGATTTTGTTTTATTTGTCCATTGTCAGAAGAAAATACCCAAATGGTGTTTGCTCCTAGATGCATCTCTTTCTTTGACAAAAGAAACATTTAGATACATATCATGTGGGAGACATTAATCTTAAAACTGTGCAAAGAATAAAATGGTATCTTTATTGTGTCATAAGAGATTTCCACCTGAAGAAAAGATTTTGCATTCTTTTGGGGACTTGAATATCATTTTTTGAACCTGTAGAGATTTTAATCTGTTGTTACTACTTATTACATTTAAACAAACATGATCCAAACACAGAAAGGCATATCTTCAACTCCAGCCTCACGTTCAAGACAGAAACCTTTAAGAAATAAGGAAAAAAGGTTACTTTCATGTCTCACACCATGAAAATTGGAATCCCAAATGGACTGAGCTGAGATTTTGCTCATACTCTATGCTTTCTAATTAACTTTTTAGTCTTGGAACCAAACTAATAGTTATCAACACCTCCCGTCACTTTAATATGTAGTAGGGTATCATCATTTTTTGCTTTTGTTTTGCTTCCTGAGGTAGAGTCTTATTATGTATTTTAGGCTTCATTCCTCTTGCCTCAGCCTTAGGAGTCCCAGGGTCATAGGGGGACTGCCACTGTGCCTGGTGGTTATATTCCTTTTTGTGTATCAAAACCCATACTGAACAGTAAGTTCTGGGTTGTGAAAGAGGATTTGTCTTTTGCACCTGTCCATAACTCTTACTGTACAAGTTAGACAAAAACAGATACAAGTGCTTGAATATAATTTTTATCTTTACCAAAAATAACAGTGGTTTAATACTGTCATCATTTTCTGTTGCTGTAATATAATATGTGAGACTATGTAATTTATGAAGAAATGGGGTTTGTTTGGGCTCACAGTTCTGGAGGCTGGGAAGTTCAAGAACATTACACCAGGAAGGCCTTCATACTACTTTAACTCATTCCTGAAAATAGAGTGGTGGGCAGGTGTGTGTAGAAGAGGGAAACACTAGAGGTAGACTTTCTGTGTACATAACTTACTTGCATGATAACTAATCCAGTCCTACAAGAATGAGAACTCATTCACTGGTGAAAAGCATTAAACCCTCTTTACGACCTAATCATTGCATAAAGGTCCTACCTTTTAGCACAGTGGCAATAGAATTTCAGCGTGAGTTGTAGAAGGGATGAGCCACATTTAAACCATAGCAAATGCTGTCCTTATAGTCTGTAGTATTTTTAATGGTCACAGTACTATCCAAATTTTAATTCAACAACCTTAACAGAGAGGTGCTCTCATCCTTATGCTACAGATGAAGCAGCAGAACTACAGAGGTTCATTGCCTAACTGAAGGCTACGGCCTTACTTACTTTTCTTATTCCTGAGACAAAATACCAGCCTCCTAAAGTTCAGGGAGGAAAGAATTATTTAGCTCACAATTTGCAGAGGGTTCAGTCCAAAATTGGCTGGCACCAGGACAGGGTGGCATCACTTAGGAGAAACAGTTCATGGTGGGCAGAAGGTAGCAAAGCAGTAAGAGACAACCATAGCTCTTTCTATCCCTTATATCTTATCCAGGCTACTTGGAGCAGAGCATTCACACCCTTAATCCTAGCATTGCACCATGAATCAATTCCAGTGCCACACACTCTAGATCCAGCCAACTCTAAAAAAGGTCCACCTAAGACCATATGAGGCTTTGGAGGAACATCTAAACACAAGCTATAACAGCTACAGAGTGGATTTACACTCAGACTGTCTAGTTTTCAACCACCCTGCCCTCTGTCTTTTGTGCCTGGTCACTCTGCTTGTCACTGTGGCTTTTCTAATGTGACACGATTGTTAGTGGTGGACCTGGAATATGAACCCTGGTCTCCTAATTCCATGTTTTGCACCTTCTATTCTATGCCAAGAATCTACATAAGAATCCATACCTTTTTGTTAGAAGAGGAGTCAAAAGGTGTAATTAGAGGAGAATTGCAAACTGTAGTTTAAAAGAGGACTTAGGGAGTATGAATAATTTTCTTGTTCATAACCCTTATAGTTGATAAATTTAAAACCACATGCTTTCTGGATTCAATATTCCTCTTGAGTGTATGAGATGAGCTTGCGCAACATGGCTCTGGAGGACTTCAAGCTTTCAGTGTTTCCTAGGTAACTTATGTGCACATTAAAAATTGAGAAATGTGGCACACTACCTTCCAAAGCCTCTTAGATGGATTTCCAGAAATGCACTATAGAAAAAGGATGAGGGCTTGAGAGTGGTGTTCTACAGGTGTGACCTAAAGGGAAATGCTGATGTGCAGGAAATCAGTTCTTCGCCCTGTACCTGACATCATCTTCCCAGTTCCATTTCCTTTAAAGGTCATATCCTTTAAAAATTGGATTCTCCAAGGTGCTTTCCTGAGTGTATTATTTATTTTGTGTGCAAGAGCTCTCTCATTGTTTCCTACCTGATAAACTCCAAAGCTTGATGTCCACATAGAATTTCTCTCATGATCCAGTCTCAACAATGTACTGAAGGCTTCTGCTGAGAAACTATTAGATTGCCCCTGATATCTCTATATCAGAATATCCAAGGCCCAGGGATTTAGCTCAGTGGTTCTGCTGTCTGCTTTGCAAGCAAAAGATCTGAGTTCAATCCCCGGTACCAAAAAACAAACCAACAAAACAAGAATATCCACAACGGAACCCTATTCTACACCCAGCCTCCTATATCCTGTGTTTCAGTTACCCTTAGCAACTCCACCATTGACTCAGCCTCCTAGGCAGATACCTTCTCTATCTTCACGCCAGAGTTTCCTTTAAAAACCCAAATCAGATCATGTCACTCCCACCCTTCATTGATTCCTGATCACCTAAATAATTATGTCCAAACTTCTTCTCATAGATGGCACCTAAAGCCTGTAAGTGTCTGGCTTCTACATCTCAGATCCCATTTGTTTCCCCTTTCAGTCCTTTCTTTAAGTCCTATGACTTTATTCTCAATTCATCCAGCATTCTAATCCTGAAAATATGCCATTTTTCCTTGTATAGCTGTTTGAATGTCACTCCTTCTGTGAATCCTTTCCTGGATCCCTCCTCTTCCCCTTTTTTTTGATGACTCTTTAGAATTTACATACTTTTATCGTTCCATGTACCACATTCTTTTGTAATGATTTGTTTCCATATCTGTCTGTGTGATATATTGTGGTCTTCCTAGAGCAGAGACTATTATTCTTTTATCTTTCATTTGTAAGTCTCTAGCTCTTGGCACAATGTCTCATTTAATGAGCATTCAATAAATACTTCCTAGATAGATAATTGAATGAAAAAAATTTAGGTTCCTTCCATGGAATTTTCCTTTCCTACTGGCATTCTGTTTCTCAAAAGGCTTCAATCAGCAAGGCATATTATCTTGTATCTTTTTTCTCAGATTTTAAATATAGTGATCACCAAATCTGTGTTGATATTCCAACAATGGCTAAGAAGTTTGAATGTGTTGTTCCCTCTAAGTAATATAGTTAATTGTAAATTAGAGCCTCCCAGAGAAAGCCCCATAGTGGAAGGAGTTCTATAAAAAGCATGCTGGGAACCTCTGCCTACTGGTAGAAGAAATATACTGAATAGACAAGCTTATCAGCTACTTCCAAGACATTGCCAGTGCCAAGTTAGAGTTGGTCTTCTTAGAGTCTCGTGTCTCTTTGCCCCTCTAGTGTGTGAGAAAGGGAAAGTGATAGATACTTTGCCTTTTCTGTTAAAGTAGAGGAGAACTTCTTGTATAACTAGAACACTAGAGTTTAGATCCAGGAATTAGACAAAGGGATTAGCAAACTATAGGCCATGGACCAAATCTATGCACTGCATGTTTTTGTGAGTGGAGATTTATTGGAACAGTCATGGCTAGTCACTGCCATATTGCCTATAGATGCTTTTGCACTTCAATGAAAGAGTTGGATAGTTGAGACAGACACCATTTGATCCTCAAAATCTAAAATACATAGTCACTGGCCCTTTACTGGACGAGTTTTCCCATCTCTGGGGAATCCAAATAATGATGCTTTCTTGACTTTAATTTTTTGCAATCTCCTATTTATCATCAATAAGATGCTGTTAATTTTCAAAAATGGCTTACAACCATCATATAAGCACATAGCTTAATACATTGCTTAGGTAACAAATCTATGATGAAATTTACCAATTCATCAAATTCAGATTTATTAGATTCTTGACGTCAGCTAATGGTATAAAAATATCAACTCATTGTAATATGATATGGCTGAAATATTGTTTTAATAAAACCAAATCGAAGAATGTTTTAAATAAAGACATTGCCGTTGCTGGTAAGGAACCTGCAATGGATGGGTGAGATGCAATTACATTTATTTATCTAAAGTTTGATCCTTGTAATAATTTATAACCATGTACAATCAAAGTCAAGAAACTTGTATTGTTGTCCTCTGGAATGAAACAGTGAACTCTGGGATCTGAACACTTTTACTGTTCAGATATACCTAGATTTTATTTTAAATCAGAAGCTACATAAATATTTTACCATTTCTAATAAAATACCATCACCCAGAACGTTCTGAATGTCTCTTTTTGCTCTAGGTCCATTTGTGATGAACACCAATGAAGAAATTTCTGAGGCCATCCTTGATTTCAGAAATGCAAAAAATGGATTTGAAAGGGCCAAAACCTGGAAATCAAAGATTGGAAACTAGTGAAGAGCCCAAGAGAGCTCTCCATTCTTTTGCCATTCTTGGTGCCCAGCCATCGAGGCATTCAGTCTCCAAAGATGACTTAGCTGGTGTTTCTGAAGGGATTTCACATTAAAGTGATAACAAGATTTTTGTGGCAATGTATGTAGGATATTTCCTGGTACATGCAAATAAACCTAATTGTTGCTTCTTTAAATCTCCATGTTCTTCATTTTAACCTAACTTACTAAGCTTCTGTTTAAAAACTCATCTTGTGTTTGTCTTTTTTGCATGTGTGTATTGATGTTTTTGCTATTTTTGAAGCATATCTGATTCCTTTCTGTGTCACCAGCAGCAGATATGTCAGCATCTGAAGGTCCTTTCCTGAGCAATGCTATTGGGACACAACCATTAAGACCATGTGCTGGGGTTTCATGTTACAGGTTATCTGCTTTTAAATAACAGCAGTCGTGAGCATTGGAGTCAGTTTTAAAAACTGCCCTGCTATTGGTAGGGACACAACAGGATTACAGCCAAGACTTCCCTGCATTTTCTGCCAAAATCTGTGTCAGATTTAAGACACATACTTCTGCAAACTTCCATGAAGGTTGTTAAAAATGTTTTAATCCAGAGCTGGGTTCCAGCTTTCTGTAACTGCAAGTACTGGTGGCTGCACTAGTTCCTTACAAAGTAACTAGACCCTGGGGCATAGGGGGGAGAGATTTCTTTTAATTTGCTGGACGTGAAATGAATGTAGAGTGCTTTCTAAGTTCAGGTGGAAGACATGTCCACCTCCTGATTATTTTTGGAGCATGAGAACCTTTTAAATTTTTTTCATCTCTCTTCCCCACTAAGATTGTGGGAAAAAGTTCCTTGTCTAATTGAAGTCATTTCATTGGATTTTGATCACAATTGATTTTTTTTTTCCATGTGAAGTTTTGGGGTTCGAACTTTCCCCCTGGAGAATGCCTTTTGAGACAATTCTCTCTAGCTGCCTGATGTTAACTGCTTAGTAATTAGCAGATATTAAAATACTCAGAATGTACAGAGAGTGGGCAGTAGTGAATATTTTCATGATGGCTTATGTGCACCTGGTGCAGGGCTTCGGTAATGAACATGGACCAGTGAAGGTAGGTGAGCTCAATTTCTAACGTGATGAGGTTCTTTTTAATGGCTTATACAAAAGACTTTCTTTGCCCTCACTATTTGTGAAGCAATATAAAAATGCATAGCACTCTTTTAATAGTCTACAGGATATGTCTTGCATTTGTTACTGACTGTTCTGTTTCTTAAGCTTAATGAGATTCTTGTCATGAATATTTGAAAATGCTGGAGTTTTTTTTTTTTTTTGAGGCGCAATAGAACTTGAGCATTCTTGGATCTTTTCAGATGGAGAAACTTCTCCCAAATGTATATACGGATGGCACAGTGGCTTTCTAATGAAGTACTGATTTGTTTTTATGATACACGTAATTTTTTGGGCCATTTATTTTCAGGTTGTTTTTGAGCAGCAAAAGCCTGGTCTATTTTGTCTGTAAATTGAAAATTATAGTGCTTCCTACAGATGTTTTCTATCTGATTTTGCAAATTACCGATTGCCAACATCCAGAAAAATGTTTTGCTCAGAGGTTGTTTTGGTTTTTCGCTTTTTGAAATGTGCACAAAATTCAACAGTAATCAAACACAGTAATCAAATCTTTGGTTCTGTGAGCAGGCATCAAGTAGAGCTCAACAAATTGAGAGTAATGCAAGCTGGGATGTTACTGACTGCTACAACAATATTTCACCCAGTTTTATGTATTTCATAGGTTATGTATTTTTAAAGCTCTTTATTTTGAAAGTGATTGAATTGTAATTCTTTTAACTGAAGTGGTGCTAAATCATTATTGATTTAGAAATTTCTGACTGTGTACAAACAATTAAACGTGGGCTTGAATTTCTGTAACTCTTGTTTTACAACAGGCATGATATTGACCCCCATAGGGGAAAACTGGCTCATGGGGGAGTTAAATTTTTGATATGTAAAACACAGATACATATTTATTACATAAACAGATACACAGTATATCTGTAATAGGATGTCACAGGAAAAAATGTCTAAAAAGGATCCCGGTTGGCTTTGGTAGCTAGGGGAGTTTGGAGATTGATAACTAGCAAAAAACTGAAACACACTGTGTTAGGGCAGAGAGTGACCTTGTCTAAAAGCCTGCATTTTTTTAATTTTTCAAATTCATTGTGCACATGGGATAAATCATAGTCTTCAGATCCACTTGACTGCTAACAGCAGTTGGACCTCAATGCCAGATGGTAAGTGGACGGGAATTCAATTTTGAGCACAGGTAACCAGAGAAAAAAGTCTGAATTGTTTGAGGCAAGACTTCAGACCGTCCAGCTTCTTTTTAAGTCTGTAAAATTCGGGAGACCTTTAGATGTGCTGGGCTAATTGAGTTTTTAAATGTTTGCATTTCACTTTTAAAAGCATTGATTTATTTGATGGGATAAGAGAGGAGACTGAATTGTTGGAAAGAAGTGCGATTCTTTGAATTTACTGTTAATGTGTACATTTGGTTAATGGGGTAGTAGAAGAAAACAGCTAAATTTGCATGTGGCAGGATACATGTCCTTACACATGGAAGATGCTGTATTCATTGTATGCTTGCTAATGCCATTAGCATTTTTCTTTTCTACATCAGAATTTCCTTTAAGAAGTACAGTGACGTAGTGCTTGCTTCGGCAGCACATATACTAAAAATGTACAGCTATGTATACTGAACTTACACTCTCAGATAAATTAAATTATTTCTTATATGAAGAAAAGGATCCTCTATAGATAAGTAGAAATTGGGGATAAATTTGACTGGGTGATGAGAATAATATACATACTGGTTTATGGTTTTCCTTTTTTCCCCAACTTTGTCTTAAGAGAAAATCTAAGGAAGTTTTTTTGACATTAATTCTTATTTAAATTAAAATTCAGTAGGAAAGCCTATTCAAGATGATAATGGTTTAGAACACTGGCATTTGAATAATATTTTTTTTTCCTTTAGAGATAAAAATGATTCTTTTATCATGGAAAAATTTCATGGTCTGCCTCAGTGCTCTACTAAGTCCATGAGAATAGCATGTTTTTCTGTCCACTCCCCACTTTTCTGATCACATCGTTTCCAGAATGACTGGTGATGCCACATATGTTCCCTGGCTGTACTGTACCCCCACCCCTAGCCTGGCCTTCGCTTTCCAGCTTTGAATATTGTCATGTTTTTCAGCTTAGACTAACATTGTCTCTTATAGTGCAGGTCTATGAGTATGCGAACAATTTTTTTCAGCAACCATGCAGACAGCTTCTAGTACTGTGCACAGTTGTAATAATGCCATTTGAGTATATGATATCCTCAATTCATTAGTGCTCAGAAGGATAGCTATTTGGGGTCATCAGTGTATGGAACATGCGGCCTGAGGCGAAAATCTCAGCTCATAGCTACTGTGTATATACTTCCTAGCTGTTATATTTCTCAGTCTAAAAAGAACACATTTTCTTCTAGAAATATGAAATGCCTATGCTTGGCTTTCTAATGTAATCATATTATTGACTAGACATAGGACTTATTTCTGTTTCTATTTTTTAGACAGTTGGAACAGTTATATACAGTTTCACAGGGTCTGCATTTCACACTCCTAGGGAGTTGCATCCACATAGACACATCTATATGCAACAGCCCTGAGGACAACTTTGCAGACACTGTGAACATTTGGTAAATAAGTACCAACAACCGCATTGCCCTACCATCAACACCAGACTTCCTGACAGTACTATTTCTGGTTGACTTAGTAAACAATCATTGTCACCAGGAATGCTGAGGTCTCCTTAAACCACCAGAGGTAGCTAGCCTCCGTAAATCTTTTCCATCATCCTTATGAAGGCATATCATTATGGCAATAAAGGAACAATGTCAGGTTATGGTAGGCTTTTAGAACTGTTCTGACAAATTTGTTTTCTGCTTCATCATTTTTTTCTCTATACCACTGTTTAATTCACCCTTCTTCTTCATTGGAAAACTATTGTTGGGTGATGGAATCATTCAAATTCTGCCAAAACTGGAATAAGTCCAAGATCCGCAGGAATTCATGGTACCTCTAACTTTCACGAGAAGCCACATATATGGCTCACAAGACTTCATTATCTTTGTGTTACTTGCCTTCTCCTAAAACTGTCTCTAAATGAATGGAATAAAAAGAACTGAAGTGTACCTACCGTATTTACTTCCAGGAGGCAGACTCACACGTGCTCCCTACCTTATTTTCACTTAAAAAGTCACACACAGGGCTGTCCAGTGACCTATCTTGGTGCTAGTCAACTAGCCCAGTGAGCTCTTGCTAATGGCCAATGGCACTACTGGCCATAGTTCTTGGCACAAAATACATCTGAAAAAGGTTTTTATCAATTTGTCCTCCATCTGTGACCTTGTAGTTAGTTTATTCAATTATATGCTTTTGCACACAGCTCTAACTTAGTTACTTATAACTAACTGATGTTCAGAGATTTTATATCACTATAGAATATTATTTATACCCAGGATACAATAGGACCCTTTGGATCTTATATTTTGAATATATAACTTCCTTGTATGACTTATTTTTTTCCTCATTGAGTTTATTGGTACATTTTAGGTATACAGCACAGTTACATTCATCATTGGGATCTTGTACCTCTACATGACAAGTCTTGGTTCTCATTTTTTCCCCTTGTCCCTGCCCTCCCTTCACCCCGTCCTCCCTTCCCTATTTACAAACACTTTATTTCCATATTTTCATTTTCTCCTATTTTTTTCCTCTCCCTTATTACCTTTCCCCTACCCTTTCCAGTTTCCCTACACCTTTAGCCCTTTTCTTCCTATTTAACATTGTCAATTATCTCATTAGGATCTTATGTACCATTATAGTTCACCCCAGAGAAACTATTCGGTATTTATACACATGTGACTTATTTATTTCACTTAGGAGTACATCCTCAATATTGTATGACTTATTTTTAATTTAAAAATACTGCCTTAGATGTGTGGTTAAACCTCTGTAATAAACCCCTCACAAAGAAAATTTGGCAGTGAGAATATGGTATTTGTACACAGAGACGATTCCATGAAGAACTTGAGGTGAAACATTGTGGAGCTCCCAGACGAATTGATTGTTGCGACTGGATA